AATATAAATAAAAATAGAAATCTACTTTGAAATCTTAATTTTTAAAAATTTTAATTGCATGAAAATAATATAGATTTACCACCATTAATCATAAAATTAAAAATTACTTTTGTGTACTTAAAATCATCTATATGCGTGTTGAGGTCATTAGCTTTCACTTTCGAACACGCATGCCCTTGAAAAGGCATGAATGCATTTCTTTTCCCACCAGATAGGGGTTAATCTCCAGCCTTGAATTCAAAAAACCGTGAGGGTGCAACTCCACCGTAAAAAGAAAACCTAATTGCTACAACAACACCATCTAGCATGATGAGGCCCTCTGCTCCATAAGAGAGTGTTGTTTTCAATTGGGATTTCAGTGACAATAAAGACATGCCCCTCAACCAAAATTTATAGACAAAACATGCAGATGCATGCTGGGATTTCTTCCTAGTTAATAAGATAGGCTATATTTCTGTTTTTTCTTGTATCCCTTTTGTGTGTTAACACCATTCTTAATTTGTGAAATTTTTGTCTTATTACTGTTGCACTGTGTACTTTTGTCTTGCATGCATTGTTCACTTAGTATTATTTTTGCCCTTTTCTCTTTCTTTCTCTTATTGTTTATTGCAAAGTCTGTCAATGCTGGTTGTTGAGCATTTCTGTGGATTGCATTTAACCATAGAGAATTACTCTACAGAGAGTCTACACATATAATAATGGACGCTTCGTTTCCGAGCATATCCGTCTACCAGAGTATATTTGTGCATGTTTATCATCCAAGAAGTCTACTTTTAGTTTTGTAACTATGCTAAGGGCACGAGTCCAAATTTTTAGACCTGAGTTCGAATCTCGATTTGTAACTTCTTGATGTAGTCGGCGTAAAGATCTGTTCCGAGTGTTGCGTAACATTTGGAAAGTGCCTGAAAAGCATACAATACGAGTGAAATAGGGTAGATGGAAATATCTGGAGGGTCGTCGATGGTTGCTCATTGTGACCGAAGGTTTGAGCGTATTAGCCTTGGTCACGCCAGATTATGCATTACCTCCCAGAAACTCGGCATAGTTGCAGTATAAAGCACAGGTGGGTTCTGTGGGTATTGAACAAAGTATGCCTGAGCCAGCGTCTGCAGTAGTGATTGGCTAACCGTCCTAGCAGACAGGCATACGAGCGGCCAGCTATTACTACTTACTATGCTAAACAGGCCGAGGAGTGAGCACATAATCTGAGTGTGATAAACAGTTTGAACAAGGCTAGTGCAGTCAAACCCTCGGTCACGATGACTTGTGATTTTCTAGAGTAACGAACAATTCTGAACAGTTCCGTCTACCCAATTTCACTCAGAAAGCCTGGGTCAATCCGTGGTCTTGTGATACTATTTGTTGTTACCGCGGTAAAATAAAACCTAAGAAAGTTTTCTTATCAATAGAAAGTTTTATGTGCTGAGAGACATTGAAACGAGAAGGGTTAATACTGAAAACTCGTGGGAAGAATTGAGGATTTAATTCACACATAAGCGACTTCAATTGTATATAGAAATAGAAAAGTGATCCAGACTTAGGGACAAAGTTGATTCACACACAGCTGCAAATGCGGACTGGAAAGCGAAAAGGTAGATTTTGTAAACAATTAAATTTGAAACTGAATTTTCCTGGACGGAAAATAGTCGAGGTAGCAGGCGCAGATAATACATCAAGGAGGATGGAGGACCCACCCACGCTCACTGAAGAGGTCGGTGAGAGAGGATGGTGAAAAGGGAGGGTGAAGAGAAGGAATTCTCCAAAGTTATGACGTAAGCCGAAGGGGATTCACCAAAATGCGCCTACCTCGCCAAACCCCCATGCCAGTTTGTGCTAACGTCCATAAATACGAATGCGCGAAGCGAATTAGCTAGAAGAGAGGCAGAAGAGATAGAAACGAAACCCCAGATAGGAGAGAGGCCCACGTGATTATCTGTCGACAAAAGCCTCCGACTTTGTGTCAAACTTCAAAGCAGCAAACTAAACTATGCCAAGTCAACAACAATAATATCACTTCCGATTTAGACGCGGGTTTGGCTGATAATTAATTACATGCGAACTCTAATATAACCAATTATTGTACGAAGGACTGATATAAAAATGTATTTATTTTTGTTCAATTTATTCGAGTGTTATTTTTTCCCTGTACATCACCCTCTGCTTGAACCAGCCCAACACGAAGATACCTGCGACGATTCGATCTTGGCCTCCTTATGATCAAACTTAAATCACAACGTGGGATAAGGCAGGTCTGAGATGGAAGCGATCTTCATCGATCAGCCGCTGTATTGGCGACCGGGAAGGGTGTTGTACGATTATAGTCTGGTTTACGGGCGCTTTACAAACGTGCTTCCCAGTCCGTAACAAATCCGAACCAGGGTCTCATGCATAACTTACCATACATATGTAATTAACTTCAGAAAAGAAAGGTGTTTACTGCGATGCTAATAAAAGAAAAATACTATTTTAATTGATAACCCAAATAAAGGAGCAAATAACCTCAATAAATATTGACCATCTTGCAAAATAAGCATTATTGTGAATAGATATATTTTCCATGGATTATAGACTGAAGAATAATTCGAAACAGTGGTGGTTTTGAACGATCACTATTTCAAATTACTCTTCAGTCTATAATCGAAAATCTCTCCTGTTAGATAATGGGCTGCATGTTGTTCAAACGAAGTTCTTTTGAAACGCTGTTCGGAAAATAAAAATATTTTTGAAAAGATGATAGTGCAAATATTTCGGAAGACAATATGTAAATTTTTATATATCAAGAACAGTTTTATAAAAATAATTTTTTTCTAATTTAAATTAAAAATTTCAGCGTCCCCTCTCCTTCGTGCGCATATGTAATTACTTCAGTTTAGTCCAATGAAGACGAAACACGTCACACAAAGATTTTTCGCCATCCTCCTTGATGTCTTATCTGCGCCTGCTACCTCGACCATTCAGATGTTCCGAAAAGAGAAAATATTTCAAATATAATTTTCTGAAATCAATTTTGTTTTAATTGAATAAATATTTTTCTGCTACGAAATTCGTATTCGTTTTATTAGTTTGTAATTAAAAAAAGAAGCACACACACAAAGAAATTTGTAAAAAATAATTTCAAATTAGGGCACTTACGTAACATTATCTGAACATTAGCCACAATGGCCTAACATTAAAACGTCGTCATATAATATAACGGACAACACCCTCTATATATATATATATATATATATATATATATATATATATATATATATATATATATATATAAGAGAGAGAGAGAGAGAGAGAGAGAGAGAGAGAGAGAGATAGATAGATAGATAGATAGATAGATCGTGAGACAGAGGCATATGTGTGTGTGTTCGTATTTCTATGAATATACGTCAGTGATTGTATATAGTTCCAAAATTACGCATCCGTTTGTATTTAGGTCAGTTCTTTCTGATTTTTAAAAAAGATTATTCTGTTTATTTCTCTCACGATGCGCTGCGTTTTATTTAATCATTTTATGTAAGAAACTGAGCTATTTATTTGCAGATAGGGTGGGAATATTTGCCATCTACTCATACATATCTCACTCGATTTATTTGAAATTAAAATCACTTTGGATTTTCCAACTCTTAACTTTCATGTTACTGAGAAAAAGAAAAAGAAGAAAATGGAAAAGAATATATCAGTCTTTGTTCATTGCTTTCATCAAAACACTTAATCCTCTTCAATAATATTTAATAAAAGCGCAAAAGCTTTATTGTAGATTTGGTTCGATTTGATTGATTTTGTTTAGCGGCGTGTCAAACTCTATGAGTTATATAATATCGTAATTTAAATATTTTGAACGCAACTGTATGCCTTCAGTTACATATTTTGTACATATTTTTATACTTTTATGGTAAATCAAAGCCATCAATTGCAGAATCGTACTTCGAAAGATGGGTTAGTTGCACACACACAAGACAGCTGGATTACAAGACGTTATATAATCGCCTGACCTATCATATCTTCGCAAGAAGATCGAATGTTCTCAGAAAGACCTGAAACTACATACCCTCGATTCAGCCAGCGTTAATTTATCAGAATACAGAGGTGAATAAATAATTTTACGTTTGGAAAATTTAGTCCTGTATTTCTATCAAACGTTACTCACTTGGAAGTTTGATGACCTACAATCTTTTCAGAGTTGTCTTTCCTTTTCGCACAGTGACTGAGTAATCTTTTAGAAGCTTAGAATCTCGCCTGCAACCCACAATTAAGCGGCAAATTTTCGCCTATACTCTGTGGAGCAATTACTGTGTACCTTACTCTTTTTGAGTAGGTACACATCTACTTATCATCTCTCAGTTGCATCTCTGTCCTTGGACAGAGTGTGCTCAGGGGCAACTCCGTCAAAGGACAGAGTCGCAACTGAGGAAAATTATACTGAAGAGGTGCCGACCCTGGGGAACAGCTGCCCGAGGCCGCGCCTTCTCATTGCACTAGAGAGAAGGATCGGTGCTCGCACCGAGGCCAGCGCAACCGACGGTTGCGGGGGCTCGGGGAATTTTTGTTCCTTGCCCGGGTGCACGCGCTCGGGCTCCTCACATTAAACCGACCTTGTGTCATAACCTGACCTCGAGGGGGGGGGTGAGTAAATATATACTCTGTGGAGCAATTTTAAATAGTTTTCAAAATGTCTACATTGCGTTGGAATACCAATTCCGGATAGTGCATATCCAGTGTTAATTATTCGGGCAAAAATGTTTTAATTGATTCGTTTTCAACCTTTTGCGGCTCATTTGAAGCCAGGAAATATATTTAGATAGATTTTGAATTTTGGATAGATAATAATGATTTAGTGATACAAGTATTACTAATTAACCCATATCTGGGGAAGAAAATGTGGCTTCATACCTTTCCCAAGGGCATTTGTGCGTAAGCGAATATAACGAACACAAATGAAATTAGAACTCGGCTCTCCGATTAAAAATTTTGAGCCATTATCCATTACACAACCCACACGTCCAAGTTTACAGCACCTGGTATTCTCAAGCGGTCATTCATCTAGGTACTGACCAGACTTGACGTTGCTTAACTTCGGTGGTCGTCCGGAATCCGGTGTTGTAAAGTGATGTGGCTATAAGCCTCGGGTAATTTTTTTTATCATTGGTATAGGGCTCAAGACTGGTTGATGTATTTCGTAATTCACAAGGCCAAGTCTAGTAATTATTTCAATGTCATTTTAGATAGTAAAATAAGAAAATATACAGAAAAATACAAAATATTTGCTTCCATTGTTTATGTAGATTGGTTAGATTTGATAAACTCGATGCCTGACTAAAAACTTAAAATCTATTAATGGCAATTTCATCAAATTTTAATTTACACAATAAATGGATTTGAATTATCAACATCGTCAAATAAAAGCTTTTGATATAAAACAAACGTATTTTGATGTCTTTGAAGCGGTATGCGCAAGTGGCGTGACGGTTAGCAGCTGAGCAAATGGAATCGACGACAAGCATAGTTCATATTTCGGGTGGTTTTGTTGCGTTAGCATCATACTGGGGTCTTTAGTACCAATGATTTTAGTAAAGGTATAAAACTATCTCTACTGCACCCAAGCTATGCGTTAAATAACAAGACAGAGTGGGTTCTTTAGCCTTGGATAAGAGAGAGAGAGAGAGAGAGAGAGAGAGAGAGAGAGAGAGAGAACTCTGAATTCAAATAAACTGGTTGTACTAACGTCCATTGCAGAGGAAAGACCAGTGGACTCAGTCAGGTATGTGCCAAGCGTGATACACGCTTAAGCGATCATGTATCTTTCAATACATGACTGACAAGGCATATTTTTTCCCGCAGTAGGTTGCCATTTTTTCTGCGGTAGACCAGTTGCCATCCAAGGCTATAGAACTCGGTCTGTCCTGCTATTTACCCATAGCTGAGGGGAGAAGAAGCAGATTCATACCTTTTCCAAGGGTATTAGCACGTAATTGAATGTAATGAATTCGACTGGAATTCGAAGCCATTATATTCACTTACGTGCTAATACCTTTGGGAAAGGTATGAATCCTCTTCCGCTCTCCTCAGCTATGGGTAAATAGCAGGGCAGACAGGGTTCTATAGCCTTGGATGGTAACTGGTCTACCACAGAAAGAAATGGCAAACTACTGCGGACTATCAATCTTTATCTTCTCATGATGGATATGTTTTCATCGTGAAAAGTGCTTAGAGCTACACGTAAATGGTTATGGTAATGATAAGAAATATAACAGGAAATATTAGACATCCATTGACCGAAAACCTACTGTTACTGTCGGTTGAAAATTAAATCTAAAATAAACACAGTTTTTCAGGAAAATAGGTTCAACTCAAAGTACCAGGTTATTTTTCATCGATTTCACACGTATACCTAAACAAAGGGAATGGCGTTTTGTTTCTGTGTCCATCATAAAGAATCGATTAGTTCTCTTACCAACTTTGAAATCATATGATGTTCTCATGTGACTACCTAACTACATTAATTGATAACTCGGTCATCGATAGTTAAAACGACACCCCTACATTGAATTAAGGTCAGAACATAATGTGATATCTTTGGTTATTTCATAAATTATATTTTTGACTGATGGGGCACTGTGATGTTCTTTTTGTTTGGTAAAAAATGGGTAACCTGTGCAACTTCCAACAATCATCTATGATAGTGACAGCATTATGCTATGGGGGTGAGTTTTTTTTTCAACAGATGAACAGTATATTGACATTTTGGACTAAAACATCAAACGAAAAATTTGTTCTGAAACAATGGCTCATGGACAACACTGTCAAGCCAGAGTCCAGACCTTGGTCCAAAGAAGAATTTGTGGATAGAGCTGAAATATATCAGTAATGGCAAAGAAGCCAATAAGTCTTAGGGAACATAGAGAACTCAGCCAAAGCGAAATGAGCCAAATTCCCCGTCAAGACTCGTAAGAATCTGATGATATGAATGATTTCTGGCTTCACTAAATATGATAGGATAAGGAACAAATAAAAAACGTTTGTAGATTTAAAATGTTTCGCTTTTATTTAAGAGCCATCAAAAATTGAATATGGAAGCGAAAAGAAAATTCTAGCATTTTTTTATTTTGGCGCTGTTTGCTTTTCATTGGTCTAATTAAGACCTCACGTGTGTTTGTCTTGTCTGGTAGCGTTTGTGTGTATAATTCTTGTATACTTGTGTATCATAATTTTAGTTGGTCTATACAGGATTTGATTGATAATGTGTGTGCGTGTGTTCGTCTAGTGGACATTTTCTTTTCTGTTTGGTAGTGCCCGTATGTTGATTGGGGAATATTTTGTGCTGAATAGAAATAATTTAGGTTACACAGTTTGATCTTAGATTTTTTAAGTATGGCTTTTATAAAAGTTGGTGATATAATAAAATGCACACTATTTACATTATTCGGAATATTGTCCACATCTTTCTTGCCATATTTATCACAACGTTTCGGCCGTTTTACGCTCCGGCCGGAATGTCGAACTGAATCCTCTATTTCGCTCGCTGGGATATACTGTTCTAGTTTCACGTGCCATGTCTAATGGATGTCAGTTATCACCTGTTAATTCCCCTCTCCAAGTTCTCCACTGCCTTAATTAGGTATTGAACTCAAACCCTTTGGGTGCAGTCACTGGATCTAACCAAAGCCTTTACCCACAGTGCCATGTGTCCTTGAGAACATCTCTGTATGAATTTCTGGGACTTATAAAATTAATGTCTTCATAACATTTTTTACCAGTTCTTATATTGCAATTTTTGCTGTTATCATTGCATGCGTTTTTACCAGAGCTCATATTGCATTTTTGTTATTATTGCTTTTCTCTGGCATTCCTTATTACTGGTTCCCATATTGTATTCATTTCTATGCTTGGTCAGCTCAGGAGATTTTTGTGGCCTAGCATATGTGCTGATTCCTTAAGTTTACCTCCATATGTGTTTGGCGTGTGTTTATCGATGGGAAAATATTTATCAGGATACTTTCTAAGTATTTTCTACGTAATAAATTATGTGCTTTTCTTAGTAGGGTGGTATTTATTTCTATGTGTTATGAGCGCGTTCAAAGGAGTGCTTCAGCATTGTTCGTTCTTATTTTCGGAGATGCGGTCTTTTAGATTTTTGAAGGCTTCACCTATATAGCTCTTTTGGTATAGCAGGTATTTACTATTTAAATATTCAAGTATTTAAATATTCAAGTATTTAAATATTCAAGTATTTAATATTATAAATCCCGTTCTCGTATTTAGAGATTAGAATTACAAATTTTGTGTTTTTCATTTTGTTGGTGCCTTTTTGGACTTGTGGATTTGTATGCACATTTCCAAGTGTTGAGGATGAAGCGGTGTGGCTAGTGAAGATATTTAAGCATTTTTTCAATGTATTTCTCTTCTTCACCTTGGTATTCTGGGATGCATATTAGAAAGCCTCTGGGGCAAAAAACTATGATTAATCCTGATTTTATTTGTTGGATGTGGTGGGAATAGAAATTGATTAAATCATTTTTGTTTGTGGGCTTGAGTTAAACTTTAAAATCTTGTTTCATATTAATAGGATGTCGAAGAAATTTTGTTTATATTATGCTAATATGTGAATTCAATGATTGGTTTTATGTTATTGCATCTCTTTATGATGCTTAGTAGATTTTTATTGTTTTAACTATACGAATATTAAAAGGATCTATGTATCTGAAGTGGAGTTTTGAGGTATAACGTGTTTAAATGGGTCGAGCTCTAAAAAATTGTTTGTTTGTGAACATTTTGGTAGAAAGGAACAAACATTGTTTAATATTTAGTTTGCACAGTTGTATATTTTTCTGGACCGGTAAAGTAAGTTTTTCTTTGGATTTTGTGAGGTGTTTTTTTTGTTTTTTTTTAAAAATATTCTGAGGCATTTTGCGGCAGCTACAAATGTACAGGGTGGTCCGAATGTCTTGTCATCCCAGCATAATATAATTTTCTATTTCAGATGGCTGACACGAACATCTACAGTTTGGATGAGAGGGTTATGGTGACAAGACTTTCGGACCACCCAGTATAATGATTTGACATCTAAAGACATTACTTTGTTTTCCAAGTTTATGTTTTTTTTATCCTTTGGATTTAATCACCAGAGTATTTAATGTGTGTTGGGTGCCTAAGAACAGAAGTAGAAGTTTTGTGACCGCTTTAACTAGCCTGGATGGGACTGTTGATACTAGATACAATGGGTTTGATGGATATGTTGGGTTTGAGTATTTTGGATAAGCTGTGTAGAGTGGGAGATTAGTTCAGGACTTATTTTTATTTTTTAACAAATTCTTGACTATTTTGTTAAATTTTTGTGAGTTTATATTTCCTGTCTGTCCTTTGGCTTTCTTGTAAGTGCTATCTTAATTTAACAGGGATTCTAATTTTTCAATGTAGTTGTTGGTGCCCATAATGGCTATTCCGCCATCTTTAACGGATGGGGTTATAACTGTTTTACTTCTTAGACAGGTTTTCTAGTGACAGTAGATATCTCCTGGCTAGTGTTGTTTCTTCGGAATCAGCGTAGGTGGCAGTTATGATACCTTGTGTGAAACCCAATTCTTCTGCGAGTATGAGAGGGTAGTCATAGATGTATTTGGGAAACTTTGTAAATGCTTTTTCGCAACAATGCAGTTGAATAGAAAAATTCTTGTTTCTTACGGAGTAACCTTAAAATTAAAAATTCCTTCTGATAATAGAAGCTTTTTGTATAGATGGATTGAATGTTGATGTTTTATTTATGATGGAGTTTCCATGTTCAGACAAGATGAATTGGGGTCAAATAGACTTTTTTGTATTGTACTTAACAGAACATTCTAGAGTTAATAAAAAACATTATCAACTCACGCTTAGTTTGATAACCTCTGGAAAATCAGTTGGGTTTCGATCCTGGCTTAAAGCAATTGGATGTCTAGCCACACTGATGAGTCGTGGCACATCGAAACAGGCGTGTATGTGGATCACACACACACACACACATATGAAATGGATTAAATCTGACATATTGTTATTTTATTTTGTTTAAACATTATTTTTTACGGATACTCATATAGGAGTTTGAAATTATGACGCCGAGCTAATCTAGCA